AGTTAGATGGCAGAGGTGGTACTGCAGACCCATGGCCTCTAACCTGGCTGTGATTATAACAGGCTGGTCTAGCATTCATGCTACAGCACTGTTATAGCTAGCGTACCCTACCTGCTGTCTGGCCCTCCTACCGGCACACAACATAATTACTATAGATTAGCTACTACTATAGATTAGCTACTATAGACACACTGCTGGCCCGACAGCAGCCTGTACCGCTCATCAAAACTACAACAGACTCAGTCGGACTGACTCTTACCTCAGAGGAGAACTCAGCTCAATTTAGTTTATTTGATTTCTTACCTGATGAGGTTCATTCACACCACAGCTACACGGGAGACACATCAAGACACAACAAACAAGCATAATTGTGGAACAGTGGTGGGAAAAGTATCCAATTATCATACTTCAGTAAAAGTAAAGATACCTTAATGGAAAATGACTCAAGTAAAAGTGAAAGTCACCAAGGAAAATACTACTTGAGTAAAAGTCTAAAAGTATTTGGTTTGAAATATACTTAAGTATCAAAAGAAAATGTAATTGCAAAAATATACTTAACCTCTTAGAGTCGATTTCCGCGCCCCCGCTGAAATCTAAAAAGCATAATAAAGAAATCCCAATAACCATCCGTCAGTCTAAGCTAGAGATAAAGTCGGAAGTTTACATACACCTTAGCCAAATACATTTAAACTCAGTTTTTCCCAATTCCTGACATTTCATCCTAGTAAAAATTCCCTGTCTTTGGTCAGTTAGGATCACCATTTTATTTTAAGAATGTGAAATGTCAGAATAATTTATTTCATCACATTCCCAGTGGGTCAGAAGTTTACATACACTCAATTAGTGTTTGGTAGCATTGCCTTTAAATTGTTTAACTTGGGTCAAACGTTTCGGGTAGCCTTCCACAAGCTTCCCACAATAAGTTGGGTGAATTTTGGCCCATTCCTCCTGACAGAGCTGGTGTAACTGAGTCAGGTTTGTAGGCCTCCTTGCTCGCACACGCTTTTTCAGTTTGCCCACACATTTTCTATAGGATTGAGGTCAGGGCTTTGTGATGGCCACTCCAATACCTTGACTTTGTTGTCCTTAAGCCATTTTGCCACAACTTTGGAATTATGCTTGGGGTCATTGTCCATTTGGAAGAGCCATTTGTGACCAAGCTTTAACTTCCTGACTGATGTCTTGAGATGTTGCTTCAATATATCCACATAATTTTCCGTCCTCATAATGGCATTTATTGTGTGAAGTGCACCAGTCCCTCCTGCAGCAAAGCACCCCCACAGCATGATACTGCCACCACCGTGCTTCATGGTTGGGATGGTGTTCTTCGGCTTGCAAGCAACCCCCTTTTTCCTCCAAACATAACAATTGGTAATTATCGCCAAACAGTTCTATTTTTGTTTCATCAGACCAGAGGACATTTCTCCAAAAAGTATGATCTTTGTCCCAATGTGCAGTTGCAAACCGTAGTCTGGCTTCTTTATGGCGGTTTTGGAGCAATGGCTTCTTCCTTGCTGAGCGGCCTTTCAGGTTATGTCGATATAGGACTCGTTTTACTGTGGATATAGATACTTTTCTACCTGTTTCCTCCAGCATCTTCACAAGGTCCTTTGCTGTTGTTCTGGGATTGATTTGCACTTTTCGCACCAAATTACGTTCATCTCTAGGAGACAGAACGCATCTCCTTCCTGAGCGGTATGACGGCTGCATGGTCCCATGGTGTTTATACTTGCGTACTATTGTTTGTACAGATGAACGTGGTACCTTCAGGCGTTTGGAACTTGCTCCCAAGGATGAACTTGTGGAGGTCTAAAAACAATTTTCTGAGGTCTTGGCTGATTTCTTTTGATTTTCCCATGATTTCAAGCAAAGAGGCACTGAGTTTGAAGGTAGGCCTTGAAATAACTCCACAGGTACACCTCCAATTGACTTAAATGATGTCAATTAGCCTATCAGAAGCTTCTAAAGCCATGACATCATTTTCTGGAATTTTCCAAACTGTTTAAAGGCACAGTCAACTTAGTGTATGTAAACTTCTGACCCACTGGAATTGTGATACAGTAATAATAATAATAATATGCCACTTAGCAGACGCTTTTATCCAAAGCGACTTAGAGTCATGCGTGTATGGGTGGTCCCGGGGATCGAACCCACTACCCTGGCGTTAGAAGCGCCGTGCTCTACCAGCTGAGCTACAGAGGACCACAGTGAATTATAAGTGAAATAATCTGTCTGTAAACAATTGTTGGAAAAATGACTTGTGTCATGCACAAAGTAGGTGTCCTAACCGACTTGCCAAAACTATAGTTTGTTAACAAGAAATGTGTGGAGTGGTTGAAAAACGAGTTTTAATGACTCCAACCTAAGTGTATGTAAACTTCCGACTTCAACTGTATCTGTTTTTTTTGCATTGTATGCGTCTCAATCCGCCACATCTGCTGATGTTGCACTTCTGCATCTGTGGTGAAAGGTGACAGAGCTAGAGCTGAAAGGTGACAGAGCTAGAGGTGAAAGGTGACAGAGCTAGAGCTGAAAGGTGACAGAGATAGAGGTGAAAGGTGACAGAGATAGAGGTGAAAGGTGACAGAGATAGAGGTGAAAGGTGACAGAGATAGAGGTGAAAGGTGACAGAGATAGAGGTGAAAGGTGACAGAGCTAGAGGTGAAAGGTGACAGAGCTAGAGCTGAAAGGTGACAGAGCTAGAGGTGAAAGGTGACAGAGCTAGAGGTGAAAGGTGACAGAGCTAGAGGTGAAAGGTGACAGAGCTAGAGCTGAAAGGTGACAGAGCTAGAGCTGAAAGGTGACAGAGCTAGAGCTGAAAGGTGACAGAGCTAGAGCTGAAAGGTGACAGAGATAGAGGTGAAAGGTGAAAGAGCTAGAGGTGAAAGGTGACAGAGCTAGAGGTGAAAGGTGACAGAGCTAGAGGTGAAAGGTGACAGAGCTAGAGGTGAAAGGTGACAGAGATAGAGGTGAAAGGTGACAGAGATAGAGGTGAAAGGTGACAGAGATAGAGGTGAAAGGTGACAGAGATAGAGGTGAAAGGTGACAGAGCTAGAGGTGAAAGGTGACAGAGCTAGAGGTGAAAGGTGACAGAGCTAGAGGTGAAAGGTGACAGAGATAGAGGTGAAAGGTGACAGAGATAGAGCGGTGTTTGTCAGACCATGAAACATCCCGAAAGCCGGTCTTCTCACAAAATCATCTCAATCCTCCGAACGGTTTGGCCTACAAACTCTCACAAACACGATGTTGTTCTCCGTTTTGCTACGACCCCCACAAGTGTCAGGAGACTTGACTGAAGTCGGTACAGCCGATCTGCCAATTCTGTCTGTAGCGTCCGAACCATTTGGGCAAAGGTGAGACTCTCACGAACATGTACGTGTCGGATGTTTTGCTCTAGGACGTCCACAGGCCTCACAAGACTCGTCTGAATGTCCCCCGGCACCAGTTGAAAAAATGAATGGAAGTACTGTATATATGGAGGCTGTTTAATGCCAAACATTTGGGGTTAAAGACATGTAAAAAATGTTTCCTGATGACATTTGGGGTTAATTACATGTGTCCTGATCTTTCGTATATCTCTCAGATATAGGAGAGACACTTCAGAACAAACTTCCTTTTGATAATTGGGGACTATCTGTTGTTCCATGTAGTGAATCTGTTATTCAATGTGTTTGTGTGGGCTAATAGCAGTAAGACCAACATTTTTTTTTTATACTTCAAGGGCTCTTAAAATTCTAAATCAAATAGCTAAATGATCCTTGGTATGACCTTCTTAAAGGTTGAGACTATGATGGGCTAAGTATCAAAAGTAAAAGCATAAATACATTTACATTCCTTATGTTAAGCAAACCAGACGGCATGATTTTCTTGTTTTTTTTTTAATTGATGGCTAGCCAGGGCACACTCCAACACTCAGACATAATTTACAAATGAAGCATTTGTGTTTAGTGTTTATGCCAGATCAGAGGCAGTAGGGGTGACCAGGAAAGTTCTAAGTGCATGAAGTGGATGATTTTCCTGTACTGCTAAGCATTCTAAATGTAACAAGTACTTTTGGGTGTCAGGGTAAATGTATGGAGTAAAAGGTACTTTATTTTCTTAAGGAATGTAGTGGAGTAAAAGTAAAAGTTGTCAAAAATATAAATAGTAAAGTAAAGTACAGATAGCCCCCCCCCCCAAAATGTCTTAAGTAGTACTTTAAAGTATTTTTACTGATGTACTTTACACCACTGTTGTGGAAGCAATATACATGATTAAAATGAACATTTCCAGGTAATCTATGTATTTCATCAACTGTTTGTGAATGGAATATTCTCACCTTTTAGATTTCTAAAGGGTTTACTGTGTCAGGCTATGGTTGCCCCTGACCCCTGAGCTAAACCAGGAAGTGGGTGCTGTTTATCCTGCCTCTGCTCAGATGTTTCCTCCATGCCCTCCTTGTTCCTAATCGCAACATAGAAAACACACACACACACACACACATAGCCTTGAGAACACAGCACAGACTTCCCTCCTTCAGACTCTGATCACATGACCTCTCCTTACACTTCCTCTATTCACCCCTCTCCGTTAGGAATTCTGGGAATTCTGTGGCTCCTGAAAGAACGGTCCACAAACATCCATGAAGGAACAGTATTCTCTGCCTGACATTAGCCTTTCTGATCAAGGGCCCTATAGAAGTACCTTGACAGGGACAAATAAACACACATACCTTTTCATCAAGTACTACCTAAACATGCACCTTTCCATGAACCATCTATTCATAACATCCTAAAGACGAATGTCCCTCAATACACCTCACAAGGCCATGTTCTCACTGCTCACAGATTCCAAGATGTTACACATCAACGCTATGTTAGGTAAATGGCCAGCGCTGTGAGTAAATAGCCAGCACACATGGGGCTGAATGACCTTCTCTTGTCATATCTTGGAACTTGATAAGTCTCTTGGTACTTCAGTTGTCTCATTGATGCTGTTTGTTTGTGTCGTTAATGGCCAGGTATGAGACCACCTCCAGTGAGGAGGAGTCCAGTGGGGAGGAGAAGGAGGAGGCTGAGGAGGAGGTGGACAGCTCTGAGCCCGAGGAGCAGGAGGAGGAGCAGTGGGAGAAGGAAGAGCAGGAGGAGGGAGCTGGAGAAGCCCAGGGCCAGGGAGAGGCCACTGCCACAGGAGAGGAGGCCCAGGGAGCAGGAGCCCAGGCAAGGGAGACAGAGGGCCAGGGAGACCCTCAGGACCCAGACACCAGCCAGGCGCTCCTGGAGCAGCAGCCAGAAGCAGGGTGAGACAGACAGGGGATAAGAGGACTTCTTGATTAAGTTTCTTAACTTTTGCAGAAAATGTCCATCTCAGTGGAGGTCTTTTGAAATTAAATGAACTGTGAACAAACCACCTGCAAAGAAAATATACAGTTAGCCAAACAATAGCCAAGCCAAGTATAAATGGCACCTCTATCCAGACCCCTCTCATCCCACTGAGGTCTCCTTATGGCAGCCTGCTGTACCTTACCTGTCCATCCCTCATCCCCAATGTGTCTACTCTAGTCTCTGATGTCAGACACACAATCCAGGTCTTTGTTCAGGTAAGGCCAGCTGCATCCAGCCCCGGCCTCCAGTCTACATACAGCCTTCAGGCCCCAATGGGAGCAGAATGACAGGTGCTGAGTGAAGCATTAATACAGCAGCCGTCTGCTGCTGGGGCCCGGCCCTATAATGGTCTGGCCCCAAGAGCTGACCCCTTCTGCTGCGTGCACACACACACACACACACACACACACACACACACACACACACACATAGTGAGGTATGAATCAGTGACAGGGAGGATGTGTGGGATATGTTGACTTCTTGACTCTGTCTCAGAAATAGGTTTATTTCTTATGCTGATCTACTGTATGATTATCACTAGGCCTGACATCTTTTGAAATACCTGATTTCCCGACTACCATTTATGATAACTGACTCAACCATTGCAGCACTACTAAAATATGTCTGTCTGTCATTATGAATTATTATGAAAGGTGGCTAAATGTTATGTTATGTTCACACAGGGAGACGATAGATAAGGACTTCATGGAGGCGTGTCACTACATTAAGGATCGCATGGCAGAGGTGGCAACCCCTGATAAAGAAATGGTAAGAACATTTCCCCTCTAGTCCAAACGGTAGCGCCTAAAGTGATCCCCGGCCTGCGCGGGATCGACACCAGTCTTCACACTGTGTACCCTCTTTCTTATCTCCCAGCTCACTATGTACCCTCCATCTGTCTCCCAGCTCCACCATGTACCCTCCATCTGTCTCCCAGCTCACTATGTCCCTCCACCTGTCTCCCAGCTCACTATGTACCCTCCATCTGTCTCCCAGCTCCACATTGTACCCTCCATCTGTCTCCCAGCTCACTATGTACCCTCCATCTGTCTCCCAGCTCCACTATGTACCCTCCATCTGTCTCCCAGCTCCACTATGTACCCTCCATCTGTCTCCCAGCTCACTATGTACCCTCCATCTGTCTCCCAGCTCCACTATGTACCCTCCATCTGTCTCCCAGCTCACTATGTACCCTCCATCTGTCTCCCAGCTCCACTATGTACCCTCCATCTGTCTCCCAGCTCACAATGTACCTTCCAGCTCATTTCTGTCCCTTTCAATAAAACTAATTGAAAAAGTACAATCACTAACAAATCCTCAACCCTCAACCTAGCTTTATGTCCACATCCTGGTTCAACCCTCAACCTAACCCTAGCTTTATGTCCACATCCTGGTTCAACCCTAACCCTAACCCTAGCTTTATGTCCACATCCTGGTTCAACCCTAACCCTAACCCTAGCTTTATGTCCACATCCTGGTTCAACCCTAACCCTCAACCTAGCTTTATGTCCACATCCTGGTTCAACCCTAACCCTCAACCTAGCTTTATGTCCACATCCTGGTTCAACCCTAACCCTCAACCTAGCTTTATGTCCACATCCTGGTTCAACCCTAACCTTCAAACCTCAACCAAGCTTTATGTCCACATCCTGGTTCAACCCTAACCCTAGCCTCAACCCTCAACATAACCCTAGCTTTATGTCCACATCCTGGTTCAACTCTAACCCTAGCCTCAACCTAAACCTAGCTTTTTGTCCACATCCTGGTTCAACTCTAACCCTAGCCTCAAGCCTCAACCTAACCCTAGCTTTATGTCCACATCCTGGTTCAACCTTAACCCTCAACCTAACCCTAGCTTCATGTCCACACCCTGGTTCAACCTTAACCCTCAACCTAACCCTAGCTTCATGTCCACATCCTGGTTCAATCATAACCCTCAATACTCAACCTAACCCTAGCTTTATGTTCACATCCTGGTTCAACCCTAACCCTAGCCTCAACCCTCAACCTAACCCTAGCTGAATGTCCACATCCTGGTTCAACCCTAACCCTAGCCTCAACCTAACCCTAGATTCATGTCCACATCCTGGCTCAACCCTAACCCTAGCCTCAACCTAACCCTAGATTCATGTCCACATCCTGGCTCAACCCTAACCCTAGCCTCAACCCTCAACCTATCCCTAGATTAATGTCCACATCTTGGTTCAACCCTAACCCTAGCCTTAACCCTCAACCTATCCCTAGATTAATGTCCACATCGTGGTTTAACACTAGCCTCAACCCTCTACCTAACCCTAGATTCATGTCCACATCCTGGTTCAATCCTAACCCTAGCCTCAACCCATCCCTAGATTAATGTCCACATCTTGGTTCAACTCATGTGCATGTGCATGTGACCAATAAAATTTGATTTGATTTGATTTGATTTGAACTCTAACTCTAGCCTCAACCCTCAACCTATCCCTAACCTACTACTGTAACCCTAACCCTTGTTTCCCCCTTTTTATAGACTGTTGTGATGGTGTTGTACCAGGAGTGGTTCCATGTGTCACAGTGTTTGTTTCTAATAGTGTGTGTCTGTGTGTGTGTGTGTTCTCCCCCTCTCTTCAGAGGCACGTCCTGACGGTGTTGTACCAGGAGTGGTTCCGTGTGTCCAGTCAGAAGGACTCTCTGGCAGACACCGTCACCCTCTATCTGAGAGAGGTGGGCATCGCCACGCCGACCCTCCTGCGTTACATCGTAAACCTGGCCGATGGTAACGGCAACACAGCGCTCCACTACAGCGTGTCCCACTCCAACTTCCCTGTGGTCAAACTGCTGCTGGACACTGGTATGGGATGTTCATACACCTCTCTACAACACACTGGTATGGGATATTCATACACCTCTCTACAACACACTGGTATGGGATGTTCATACACCTCTCTACAACACACTGGTATGGGATGTTCATACACCTCTCTACAACACACTGGTATGGGATATTCATACACCACTCTACAACACACTGGTATGGGATGTTCATACACCTCTCTACAACACACTGGTATGGGATGTTCATACACCTCTCTACAACACACTGGTATGGGATGTTCATACACCTCTCTACAACCCACTGGTATGGGATATTCATACACCTCTCTACAACACACTGGTATGAGATGTTCATACACCTCTCTACAACACACTGGTATGGGATGTTCATACACCTCTCTACAACACACTGGTATGGGATGTTCATACACCTCTCTACAACACACTGGTATGGGATGTTCATACACCTCTCTACAACACACTGGTATGGGATATTCATACACCTCTCTACAACACACTGGTATGGGATGTTCATACACCTCTCTACAACACACTGGTATGGGATATTCATACACCTCTCTACAACACACTGGTATGGGATGTTCATACACCTCTCTACAACACACTGGTATGGGATGTTCATACACCTCTCTACAACCCACTGGTATGGGATATTCATACACCTCTCTACAACCCACTGGTATGGGATGTTCATACACCTCTCTACAACACACTGGTATGGGATATTCATACACCTCTCTACAACCCACTGGTATGGGATGTTCATACACCTCTCTACAACACACTGGTATGGGATATTCATACACCTCTCTACAACACACTGGTATGGGATATTCATACACCTCTTTACAACACACTGGTATGGGATATTCATACACCACTCTACAACACACTGGTATGGGATATTCATACACCACTCTACAACACACTGGTATGGGATATTCATACACCTCTCTACAACACACTGGTATGGGATATTCATACACCTCTCTACAACACACTGGTATGGGATATTCATACACCACTCTACAACACACTGGTATGGGATATTCATACACCACTCTACAACACACTGGTATGGGATATTCATACACCTCTCTACAACACACTGGTATGGGATGTTCATACACCTCTCTACAACACACTGGTATGGGATATTCATACACCTCTCTACAACACACTCACTCTCCTTTATGTCACACCCTCTTTTCTCAGTCCCTACCTCAACCTTTTTTACTGAAACGATATTTATGTCTTTATTCTCACGTTCGTTCTGAAACCAATATAGTGAACAAGACTTGGAGTGTTTCAATGCGAGATTTGTCTCTACCTCTACACGCGGTGGTGGAAAAAGTTCTCAATTGTCAAACTTGAGTAAAAGTAAAGATGCCTTAATAGAAATGACTCAAGTAAAAGTGAAAGTCACCCAGCAAAATACTACTTAAGTAAAAGTCTAAATATATTTGGTTTTAAATATACTTAAGTATCAAAAGTAAACGTAATTGCTAAAATATACTTAAGTATCAAAAGTAAAAGTACAAGTATGAATCATATCACATTCTTTATATTGTGTGTGTATGTGTGTGTGTGTGTATGTGTGTGTATGTGTGTATGTGTGTGTGTGTGTGTGTGTGTGTGTGTGTGTATGTGTGTGTATGTGTAGGTCTGTGTGAGGTGGATACCCAGAACAAGGCAGGCTACACAGCGGTGATGCTGGCCTCTCTGACAGCTGCTGATGGGTCAGACGACATGGAGGTGGCTCTGCAGCTGCTGAGACAGGGAGATGTCAACGCCCGAGCCAGCCAGGTACACACAACATGTACACACACACACACACACACAGACACACCTGTACACACATTTACTCTATCCCATTGTACAGTCACAGACACACACTAACAATGATCCACTACTCACTGTATAGTCACTCTATCATGCAGACACAGACTGTATATTCACTCTATCATGCAGTCACAGACTGTATAGTTACTCTAGCATGCAGTCACAGACTGTATAGTTACTCTAGCATGCAGTCACAGACTGTATAGTCACTCTAGCATGCAGTCACAGACTGTATAGTTACTCTAGCATGCAGTCACAGACTGTATAGTCACTCTAGCATGCAGTCACAGACTGTATAGTTACTCTAGCATGCAGTCACAGACTGTATAGTTACTCTAGCATGCAGTCACAGACTGTATAGTCACTCTAGCATGCAGTCACAGACTGTATAGTCACTCTAGCATGCAGTCACAGACTGTATATTCACTATCACTAGGGTTTATTAGTTTCTCAGAAATCTACCAATTTTCCTTCCTGAGAAAATTGGAACCATCCCAGTAATATCCCAGTATTCCCATTCAAACCGGAAATGCTATATAAAAGCATATAATACCAGCGCAAAAAATTAGACATGATTCTACCACTGGAGAAATGTGGACAGGAATCGAATGGTTTCGTATAGTATTTGTCAAAATTGAATCAACTCAAGGTTCTGTCAATGTCACCACACAATTTGTTGATGTAACCTAGTTTAAATGTTGGTCTAAAATATTATGAATTTATTAGCCTACAGCCTAGTGAAAATTACATTTGTTTTAGCTTACCTTTAACTGAAAGATATCAGCCAGCTTGTTTGCCCGTTTCTCTCCCCTTGCACCTGGCTATCAGAGGGATTTCGGAAGGTTGTGGCTGTTTTTACTTTATGATAACATGATTATTGTGATGACTTTGTCACAGGGAACATATCCGATTCTCCGCTAAACAGACAAGCAAATAGGCCTAGTGTTGGAGCTTCAGCACCATGGATAGCTTCAGGGCCATGGATAGCTTCAGGGCCATGGATAGCTTCAGCACCATGGATAGCTTCAGGGCCATGGATAGCTTCAGGACCATGGATAGCTTCAGGGCCATGGATAGCTTCAGCACCATGGATAGCTTCAGGGCCATGGATAGCTTCAGGACCATGGATAGCTTCAGGACCATGGATAGCTTCAGGGCCATGGATAGCTTCAGGACCATGGATAGCTTCAGGACCATGGATAGCTTCAGGACCATGGATAGCTTCAGGACCATGGATAGCTTCAGGACCATGGATAGCTTCAGGGCCATGGATAGCTTCAGCGCCATTGAGAGATCCCTGAGAATCTAAGTCAGGCCCCTGCACTTGCTTTTGTTATTGTAACATCATGGAACAATGTTGCAAATGTCTATTTCCTCGAGCGCGTTTGTGGACACAATGTAGTAGCCTACCAAACATTTAGTTAAGATGGAGTATTTATATTTTGAGCTTCTGCCAGTGCCACAAAGATAGTTTGGAGATTTGTGAACGTGAGATGGAGATTGCCTTCAGTAACTGCATCGAGAGGTCGCGTGTAGCCTACATATGATAGTCAGCAATGCAATTTATAGAAGTCATGCAAGTAAGTGATGTTTTCTATTGGGGACTTTACGTTGAGTAGGCTAAATATGGTAGGCTGCTAGCGTTGTGATTACTGGTCTAATGTAGGCTATGAATTAAGCCAGAGAGTTGATATGTCCGGTTCATGCACGCAACTGTTCGCACGTGCATATTTTGTGTTTTTGCATTAGTGCTGCATACATTTTATTTTGTTAATTATTTATTAATATTTTTCTCGGAAAACGGGAAGGAGCTTGGTCAGGAAGTCCCGGGATACCGGTCACCGGTATTAAACCCTACTGTACACACACCCATTGTATAGACATACACCCAGTCATTTTTAGACACTCACACACCTGTACACACAGTCACCTATACGCAATACTCACCTACTCACTCAGGACCACTGTACTTGCCTGTACTTGACCCACTACAAATATATACTGTAGTTTCCCCCTCTCACATTTCATTCCTCTCCTCTTTGGTCTTTCATTCCTCTCCTCTTTGGTCTTCCTCTCTCTCTCCTGTTTTCTAGGCAGGGCAGACGGCCCTCATGCTGGCCGTCAGCCACGGTCGCACAGCCATGGTGCGGTTGCTGCTGAGCTGTCAGGCTGACCTCAACGTTCAGGACAAAGACGGTTCGACCGCACTCATGTGTGCATGTGAGCACGGTCACACAGAGATCGCTCGAATACTACTCGAGTCTGACCACTGTGACACCAGCCTCACAGACAAGGTAGGCACACACACATGCATATCACACACACACGCACGCGCACACATAACACACACTAATGTGAACACACACAAGCACGCACACACACACTTGGACGCTCACACACACACACATGCACAGACTTACACTTAAACATCAGCACATGTATGTACTTTGGGCTTCCCAAAACATTGAATGTCAAAATAACCCAACGGTGCCACCATCTGGCTAAACGGTGAAGTGCATAATTTTCTCATGTTCATTGACATGATGAATGAGCACACAGGCTCTCAGAGGATGTCACATCGCCTAGCCACTGAGTGGCAGGGAGTTGACCAGAAACACACTGTCTTATTTTTCCTCCATAAAGTGATAGCAGAATGGCAGCCAGATAAGGCACAAATTAGCTTCTAGGTTAATGACTGTTTTGTGGAGATGTCTCTCTGGGTTTGACACACTAATTCATCCCTTTAGAAGGTATTATACTGCACTGGATTTGTAGAGGTGTCTGTGTGTGAATGGCGTGCAGTGGGGCTATGGCTAGAATCAGACCTTCTTTAAGGCCTCCAGGGCATAGTCAGACAGGGGGCTAAAGTAGACCATGGAACCCCAGACAGAGCTGTGTGGGTTGGACTGTGGCTGAGACAGACAGGCTAAATAATTCACCTCTTCCTCTCCCATGGCCAGAGATGGTATTGTTCTGCTCTCACTCCTTGGTCCCACATTGTCTCACTATGGATCTCATGAAGAGACAAAAATATCACACGAGCCAGCCAGGAGTCTAACCTAGAATCTTCTGATCCGTAGTCAGACGCGTTATCCATTGTGCCACTTGCCAGTTGTTGGCGATGTCCTGTGTGGGTTTAGATTTTAGCTGTGTACGCTCATTACCCAGGTCTCATGTTTCTGAGGGGAAGAGGGGGGGGGGGGGGGGGGGTCTAAAGAACACACCCTCTGGTTAGTGGAGAGGACGGTATTCACTCTTCAAACATGATTGAACCACAACGTTTTTGTTTACTCCATGAGTGAAGAAACATTCTCTCTCTCTCTCTGTCTGTAGGATGGTCAGAGTGCTCTGTCGGTGGCGGTAGCAGCCTCCCACAGTGAGATAGTTGAACTTCTGAAGACCCACTCTGACTCCACCACCCAGGCCTCTAACCCCTCCTCCACCACCACCTCAGCCACCATCATCACCACCACCACCGCCTCTCTCCTCTGAGCCCCCTCCAGCAGCCCTTCTCTAACCCCTACTCCACCCTATCACTGGACTCTCCCATCCTGGACCCACCATAGCCCGGACCCCACTCCCCATTCACCACCACTCTATCTCCCAACCAACCAGAGCTCAGCTCACAGACAGGCCTACTGGACCTGAGCTGCAAGGAACCAGAATAACACACATTCTTCACATTTCTGCCAACATTCCGTGGGCGGGACTCTGGAGATATGTATCAACCGTTTGGCAGCCAGCCAATCAGAGAGGGACCTGTGTGAGGCAATCAAAGACCCCTGTAGCCATGGCAACAGTGGTGATTGACAGGTGATCCAGGAAGAGGGTAGAAAGACAACAGAAGGATGATGGATTCCAGGCAAAAATCATATTAAGCACATGAGCTACCTTCAAAATCTGTCATATTATTATCGATAATATGGTGTTCCTTCCTTTTTATACCATTGATAACATTACTATTATTTTATATTTGGACATAAGCCATTTATTGAAATCATAAAGTCTATGTTATTCTAGCGTTTTATCGGATACACACACTATATTTATTTTGCATTGCACTTTGTTTTAGTCTGTTTCATTGATATTCACACTGTAAATATCCTATCCATGCTTGGTTTGTTTTCATCAGTATGACTTAACGATTGACTCACTGGGACGTCTTCCAATATGAAGGGTGTATAGTAGGATGCAGCATGCAGCAATATAATAACAAAAAACGCAGAATCTTCCGAAGCTACTAAACTGCAGTATGTTGTAGTAACTGTCCACTTACTACTCTACTCAACTATCTACAACTCTTTTTCTCTTTCTCCCTCTCATGAACTAGCCTGGTCTCAGAGCATTTCGTATTATTCTGTACATAAATCCGAGACACTCCATTTCGTATGATTATTACGAATTATATTTCCTATTATATGTTACGAATTTGCATAACAAACAATATGTTACGAATTTGCCAAACGTATGATATGTTACGAATTCTAGCTAGGTGGCTTGCTAACGTTAGCTAGGCTAGGGGTCAGGGGTTAGGGTTAAGGTTAGGCTTAAGTTTAGGAGTTAGGTTAAAGGGTTAAGGTTAGGGTTAGGGGAAAGGTTAGCTAAAAGGGTTAAAGTTAAGGTTAGGGTTAGGTGAAGAGTTAGTTAAAAGGGTTAAGGTTAGGGGAAGGGTTAGCTAACATGCTTAGTAGTTGCAAAGTAGCAAAAATGTGTAAGTAGTAGAAGTTGCTAATTAGCTAAAATGCTTAATGTTTTCCGCGATGAAATTCAAACTCACAACCTTTGGGTTGCTAGACGTTTGTGTTATACGCTCACCCATCCACCCCGACCAACCACCCTCCTTTCGTTTTTGCCTTAAGAAACCATCTGTCTTATGTAACCATACCAAACTTAACATATCATACTAAATTGGGTGTTTCGGATTTACAGTTGAAGTCGGAAGTTTACATACACCTTAGCCAAATACATTTAAACTCAGTTTTTCACAATTCCTGACATTTAATCCTAGTAAAAATTCCCTGTCTTAGGTCAGTTAGGATCACCACTTTATTTTAAGAATGTGAAATGTCAGAATAATAGTAGAGAGAATGATTTATTTCAGCTTTTATTACTTTCATCACATTCCCAGTGGGTCAGAAGTGTACATACACTCAATTAAGATTTGGTAGCATTGCCATTGTTTAACTTGGGTCAAACGTTTCGGTTAGCCTTCCACAAGCTTCCCACAATAAGTTGGGTGAATTTTGGCCCATTCCTCCTGACAGAGCTGGTGTAACTGAGTCAGGTTTGTAGGCCTCCTTGCTCGCACACGCTTTTTCAGTTCTGCCCACAAATGTTCTATAGGATTGAGGTCAGGGTTTTGCAATGGCCACTCCAATACCTTGACTTTGTTGTCCTTAAGCCATTTTGCCACAACTTTGGAAGTATGCTTGGGGTCATTGTTCATTTGGAAGACCCATTTGCGACCAAGCTTTAACTTCCTGACTGATGTCTTCTTGAGATGTTGCTTCAATATATCCACATAATTTTCCTTCCTCATGATGCCATCTATTTTGTGAAGTGCACCAGTCTCTCCTGCAGCAAAGCACCCCCACAGCATGATGCTGCCACCCCCGTGCTTCATGGTTGGGATGGTGTTCTTCGGCTTGCAAGCAACTCCCTTTTTCCTCCAAACATAACAATAGTTATTATGGCCAAACTATTTTTGTTTCATCAGACCAGAGGACATTTCTCCAAAAAGTACGATCTTCTGTCCCCATGTGCAGTTGAAAACTGTTGTCTGGCTTTTCTATGGCGGTTTTGGAGCAGTGGCTTCTTCCTTGCTGAGCGGCCTTTCAGGTTTTGTCGATATAGGACTCCTTTTACAGTGGATATAGATACTTTTCTACCTGTTTCCTCCAGCATCTTCACAAGGTCCTTTGCTGTTGTTCTGGGATTGATTTGCACTTTTCGCACCAAAGTACGTTCATCTCTAGGAGACAGAATGCGTCTCCTTCCTGAGCGGTATGACGGCTGCGTGGTCCCATGGTGTTTATACTTGCGTACTATTGTTTGTACAGATGAACGTGGTACCTTCAGGTGTTTGGAAATTGCTCCCAAGGATGAACCATACTTGTGGAGGTCTACATTTTTTTTTCAGAGGTCCTGGCTGATTTCTTTTGATTTTCCCATGATGTCATGCAAAGAGGCACTGAGTTTGAAGGTAGGCCTTGAAATACATCCACAGGTACACCTCCAAATGACTCAAATTATGTCAATTAGCCTATCAGAAGCTTCTAAAGCCATTACATCATTTTCTGGAATTTTCCAAGCTATTTAAAGGCACAGTCAACTTAGTGTTTGTAAACTTCTGATCCACTGGAATTGTGATACAGTGAATTATAAGTGAAATAATCTGTCTGTAAACAATTGTTGGAAAAATTACTTGTGTCATGCACAAAGTAGATGTCCTAACTGACTTGCCAAAACTATAGTTTGTTAACAAGAAATTTGTGGAGTGGTTGAAAAACAAGTTTTAATGACTCCAACCTAAGTGCATGTAAACTTCCGACTTCAACTGTACATATGGAATAATACGAAATGCTCTGAGACCAGGTTGCATGCACGCACACACTCTCACTCTCTTCCACTGTAATGTATCATTCCCTTTGTCTGCCTGCTTATAGATTACAAATCAAATAATGTATGCAACCAAATCGCTACATAATGCACAATGAATGTCAGGCAGTTTTACATTCCAGAATCCAGATAGCATTCAGCAGGCCTCCTATGGAACAACATCACACCACTTAGCACAGGAAGCAACACAGTAGAGGACTCTCCATTACTGGCCATACTTTAGTAACATGTTCTCTACTGTCCTATGCAGTTAGTAATGTTACACAACCCCCTCTCCAATATGGACACACATGCATATTTCACTGCTATAAAAGTAGAAATGTTGTTCTTAGGGAGATTGTGCCTCTCTCTTCCACCCAACCTCCATTCTGCATTGAACAATAGGGCACTGGTGCAGAGAAATTACATGAGAATATCCTATCTTGCCTATCAGAAAATGAAGAGGTCCCAGTCCCAAAGGAAAGGTGCTGTACTCACCAGGTGGAGTGGTGCTGTCTTTCTTTTTCTCACCTGTTTATCACAAGGCAGGCCTAGGAGCTGAAGACTGACCTCTACTGGTTAAAGAAGTATATGGATACCTACCTGTACATACATTTACAGTATTGTGGAAAATATATCTGGTATGGTCTGACATTTGCTCTTAAATATATTTAGTATTTATTCAAAATGCTATATTTTTACAATATACAGTATATGCATGGGCCAATAGTCCAATGATCGTGTTGGAATATGTGAATTTATTGGTTCTTCTGGATGGTATATATAAGCTGATTGGTCTACTCTAAAAAGCGATGTAACTTTTCATTGGTTGGGTGGTTCATGCTCGTCTCTCATTGGACAAGGTTGTGTGCTGTACTGCGTCAACAGGACTGCCTTTGTGAGACTACGTTACAATCAGATGAAAACAGCTGTACCTGCCTGTAATATTCCTACTATCAAATTTACTTGTATGTTAAACATTTACAAATCAAAGAATTGCTTCTAAATAAAAAGGAAACTTTGAAACGTGTGTGTAGAAGTTTATTATGTCATGAGCTTCTGTACACTATTAGGGATAGAGTCAATCCACATTGCAGAAGATCTGCGTTATAGCGAGATTGAAATGTAAAGGTAATTTCCAATTGAGTCGGCATATGTAGTGTTTACCCTAAATGCAGTCTCTGCGAACATTGTCTTTAAATTTCAATCACACAATACCACGGATCTTCCGCGATACGGATTGAATCTAGGCCTTTTACATTTATAGTATACAAGCAGCACTTACCTAGCCACGCTAACCTGGCCCTCATGTGGGTGCTAACACTCTAGCAAGCATGCTAGGTAGTGGTATGTAACAACAGCCATTGTTAGCCAATCCAGTAGGGGTTGGAAGATATGGTGAGCTTCGATTGGTCACTCGCGGAGGATTTGAATAAAGTTCCCGCTTTCCACAACTTTAGTCCCACCCTGTTCAGCTCCCTCGCCCATGCTCGCATCGCCCAACGGTCCCCCCGCCCACTTCCGCTTCTCTCACTTTCCTTCCATTAAAAGTGAATGGCTTCCGATGTGTCACCGCACGATGCCGCTTCCTAGTATAAACGGGCCGTTAGTCTCTGATGTGACTGAATAAGTGCAGCCTTGTTTCTTTCCCATTATCTATAATACTGACCTCACAGGCAGCTGTCCCCCTCCACAGAGTCACAGACCTTCACTGAGCCACTGTTACTCTGCCAGACAGACCGCTCACCCCAGTGACATCACAGAGGAAATTAAATGTAATGTGTCACCCACGACAGCAGGGGTTTCAAAGTCATTCCACGGAGGGCCTAGTGTCTGCTGCTTTTTGGGTTTTCCTTCAATTAAGATCTAGACAACCAGGTGAGGGGAGTTCC